TCGTAAATACAGTCAAACCCCTGTTAAGAGGATATTTTTTAGGGAACGGAATTCGTTCCTATACATTTACTGTTGGTATGAATGTCATGGCCTCACTTTCCAATGTTAGTCATAGATTAGTCATCGTTCAATATGAGCATCAGTATCTTTTTGTAAAATAGGAGAATAGACAAGATCCACCAACACAACCGCAGAAACGAGACATACAGTTTACGTTCTTTGCACCATGTTTACGTATCCCTACGTTTACCGATTACACGATTATCGTTCTACAACCTCTGAATTTCGTCTTAACTAGGGTTTTTTTGCTAGATTGGTGCTAACAATGCCAGCGAAAAAGTGAATTTCTGTGGAGCAACGACGTGCTCTGCGACGATGGGCGCACCGCCAGGTCCCAAAACTAACACAAAAACAGTGCATTGAGTGGTTCTTAGCTGAGTACGGCCATCGATTAAGCCAGTCCACAGTCTCCGAGTCCTTAAGCAAGACCTTTGCGAAACTCGACGAAGCTTCAAGTACTACTGCGCTACGACAGCGGGCTGGAAACTGGCCTAGCCTTGAGAGTATTAGAGCTATTAAAGACGGCAAATGGGAGTATAAAAGATGCATCAAAAGTACAAAGTAGCCTAGATAGCTGGATTAGATAATGATATCCTTTTAAACAATATCCTCTATATGACGATATTTTTCACGACCCCGATTACATCGTCTTAGCAGGGGCTTGAATATATACAGCGATAGATGGCTGGAAATTAATGGAGCAAGCTCCTATATGCAATTGGAGCAACTTCTAATTGATGCAAAAAAAAGGGCAACTTCTTTATTGGTCGTCGAGGCGAGATGGTGCGTAGTTAGAGAGGTTGAAGAATCAGATGAGAATGATTAGCGAGGCATTGTCGAGAAGTCGTCAGATGGAGATATGTTTAAGGTTGCTTTCAACTTCAATTCAGATGCGATTCTTCTTGGCTATCCCAGATTTGCAGAGCACACTGAGCGATTATACCGGCACAGCTGGGTGGTGAAGAATGCGTCTTACCAGCTGTGGATGTAGTTGAAGCCGCCTTTAATTTTGCCAGGATTTAGCCTATTCTTGGCATGCTGCGATTTTCCTGCCACTTTCTTCCTTTTTTTAGACTAGTCTTCCCCACAAATTTCCATCCAGTCTGCCAGATATGATCTCCTGTTATTGGCACGAATGTCTTTTCTCCCTCGCTATACCAGCTTAATATTACTACCGGCGGATTTTATGAGCTTTTGAGCTGGTATGTTTTTCGAGCGACCAATGTATTGGAGACTTTGCAGCTTCAGTGGCAAATTTTTATTTAAATTATTGTTAAAATAATGTGGTACATCTCAGCGAGTAAGTAACACTGAGTTCCCTTACCACATACTTCGAAGTGAGTACGTCTCATTCTAATTATGTTCGTCACTTGATACTAAGTTAGAAAGAACATGTTCCTACACTTTCACGGATCTCGATTAGTTTCGTGGATCGAGATACATGTTATTATGCTAGCCGTTGCATAGAGAGCGGATGTGGTGTATGTACCATCCGACACCTGATTTAGGATGTCAAAATACATGTCGGCTGCTGGCTAGCGCCTTAGAATGGTCTAACTGACTTCACAAATTCCTACGCTTAATAGAGCAAGTTCTGGTGGAAGTTTTCGTTTGATCAGTAAGTTCAAGCCTCTGCAACAACTGGATCTATTTTCTCGCCACCAAGAATCGACAGTCTCCTCAGCTCTGTCCCCGAAATATCGGTTTAGTGCTGCAAAAATGAATCTTTGTCTTAAATATAACCTTGAAATAAACGTTGCATTTGAAAAAACTGGAAAATTTCGCAGAGCTAATTTTGCCAATTGATCGGCATTGATGTTCCCGAGAATGCTAGAATAAACTGAGATTCAACACAACCCTAGTCATCTATTCAATCGTAGTAGAGTTGTGAATTGGTCGACTAGGGCTTGAAATGACTTGCTACGATTTGTTCTGAGGGAATGAATAGCTTCAGTATTATGGGAGAGCATCTTAATAAGAAAATTTCCTACCTCTATGGAAGATATTCCCAGGACTTTCCAAGGCCCCAAAAGTTCCGCGTCGTATATTTATGCTCTTATAATGGGCCCAGCAGCGTTTCAAATCAGTCTGCTTCCTTTATATCAGGCCTGTCCCTATCTAGAGCCCGCTGGTTCTCTTGATGAGCCATCTTGCTAGGCTCATACGGTCTCCTACGAGATATGGTCTATCCACGTTCTTGAATCATTTGACTCATTAATTCTGTTAAGACTAGATAGTGACTGGTAGGATGGATTTTCGAGAGCTTCTACTACAGGATAGATCCATGATGTTGATATTGACTGTGCTAGTAGTGACTAGGGCAACATATGCCAATCGAGGCTGGTAATCAATGCCGTGTTCATCAAGACCATGATACAGGAAGATGTTGGAAATTCAGACTCTATGTGTCTGAAGTTTCCCATGATTGGAACAACTAAGATTCTCTCACATGACTCACGACCTAGATGATTGATATATCCCTTACTGAGCATGTTTGATGCTTGAGACTCGACTAGTGCATGGTATGGTCTGATACACGTGTAGGCTTTCATCCACCGACCCTGACCCCATACTTATATTGTATACTGACGTGCGTTTCATTGTCATTGTTAGAGTATGGAACGAGTGATGGATGGTATCTAGTCTGGATTTGGTCTATCAAGATTACATGTGTATAAGCTGTCTAGGAATCACTAGGACAGATAATAAAATCAATTTAATTTATTCAAACCATCTTTTATTTCTCCACAGTTTATCACATATTCTCCCGATTCATATCATTATTATTCTATTCATAAAATCGCGCCCATATTCTTTGAGCCGCCTTACTCATCGAACCCGTACCGGTTTTCCAACAGAATTCACACTGTACAAACAGTGTAAACGCACTTCCCGTTGGAAACCCCAGAAGACCAACATACACGAGATAGACAGTTTTGGTGGGTTTTTACCGAATCGGTTTCCTCCTGTGTAAATATTATAGCTGGATATACCTACACGGGCTAAATGAAATCAAATCACATAGAATACAATGATTAAAATATTTCAGACTGTCGAATGGCCTAAATTTACGTTTACGCAAGGTTAGTTCATTACAAAATAAAAGGTACAAAAGTGAGGTGTGTAATGTGTCTTGTCATCTATCTTCTCTATTTACGGATATTGTGAACGTGGAGTTTGTTGTATTAGCTGAGTCATTGTCTTGATGGCTCAGCAACGGAGAGAAGCAGAGCACTCAGTGCAGACCAGGTAGGAATATATATATATATATATTTCATTATTTCATTATTTTGATTTGGCGGCTTGAGGCCCATGCAGGTTTTTATCGGAAGATATGTACTTTAAATAGGATGACTCAATTTGACGTTTAGAACACTCACACTCAGATTTCATTTGCAGATACCACTCGAGGTCAACCCTTACGGCGTATAACCTCTTCCGTGCATACCCACCACAGGGAAAAGCGTGAAAAACTAGTGGCTATCAGAGTGTGCTTTCATCATCCCACAAGTACAATATCACCGCGAGAGAGTGTGGTGTGTGGGTCTGACTGGATTCGAACCAGCTTTCTCCTGTCTCAAATGGAGTAGATGTTCAGGCTACCCCGTATCTTCTTAGGAGAATGGCACAGATGGTGTACCACTGCACCATCCAGCCCTTCAGGTAGGAACACTTTCCAACACCAACACACATAATCTTCACGTCCCCTCAGATTATATAGCCATAGCCACCCAAACATTCTATTAGCCCACAAAGATCAAATATTCCCCATTCAATTAAAGCCCCTGGTTTATATGCAAGATATTCACGCACCAATCTCCAATAAATTCAAACGAGAGACTGTGTCATTAAGAGATTTGGTCCACAGAATGTTTTTCTACTGGATCGTTTTTTAAACCTTGTGAGGCCTTTTTTTTAGAATCAATTGGTAACGATGGGCTGTTATGCTTAGGAGTCTTGGATTTTTGTGTCGGTGGCAGCTTTTTTGTATGATGCGGAATTTGACTGAACTCAACTTTGTGTAAAATTTCGCTAACAGGCTTGCAGAGAACACCATTGACAAGTTTTTATTTTTCTTTCTCATTAGGTTAATCCAATAGTTGGTAAAATTAAACAAATTCTGTATCTGAATCTGAATCTTGGCAGATGAGAAAATAATGTTTTCTCAACAGTATTATGACTTAGGCCTGAAGATGAGTGATCTTAAGGAATCAGGAGAGATATAACTATTCAGATATGACCAAGGCCCATACTGAGCTTATCCTGAGAAATAGAAGATATGAAGCCCAAGTGACTTCTTCATTCACAATATTGATTGCCCGTATTATCCAATTGTTGGAATAAAATAACAATTGTTATACTAATAAAGACTTAACAAAATTACAATACACATATCCAGTCATATGTACAACATTCATAGTCCACGAGTGATCCAGCTTTATAGAGCCAATACTAATATCTCCTACTCGTGTCCTGAACGGAGCGAGTGATCTGTCTTCCCGCCTCCTGTTAATATCCGAAGACCACCATCACGTGACCTTGATCTTCCATAACACAACACGTCATGCAGACTTCCTGCCCAACTGGTGACCACTAACAGTCAGGTAAATATGTGACCCATATATTTTTTACCCCGTAATCATAATGTATATATTAAGTCTCAACACCAATTGTCACTTCTTTTTCAAGCATTTCTTAAATTAAGAAAGATTTCATCCTTTCGTGTGTCCATGACAGCCTAGAGTTCCCTAAAATGCTGCATTGTTTCAGAGGGAACATGGATTTACCTAGTAAAACTTGCACCCTACTAATAGGTCTAGTAGCAATTACTTGTCTATCGTAAAAGTGGCAAGGTGAGATTCGCCGAAGAGAGTTCTTGTTACCTCGCAACCGGAGCCTGTAAGAGCCCACATATTTTTGGGTAGCCTGAACTCTTCGCACTAATGAGGAAATAAGTTTAAACAAGTTAAGGTTGGTCTTTGTTTAGCGGGGTGCAAGGATGACGTGTCTTTTGGACACTCCCGGTACCTGTTATTCAAACGGACATGCACACCCAAAAAATTACAGTCAAGATCAAATTTGATGTAGTAATTCCAGTCTTTTGTACCTTTGCATTACAGTCAGTTTATCTTGCGGCAAATATTCGGGTAGATTTACCTCTTGAAGTGGTAGGAAACTCTTCTTTTCGAATTGGCCACATTCGATTGTAACCTTCTTGAAGTCTGTGGTCTAGATATAGTGAGGAATCCGCAGACTCTTTAGTAAAAACTTTTCTAGTATCTTCGGATATTGATGTACACGCTGCTTGCATGTGACTATTTACCGTGATAGCCGAGAAATACACATCGTCGCATTTGTATGCACTTACGTTTTCAAATATCCTCTCTCCAATCGAGTTTTTCGTGGGATCCAATGATCTTGGAGGTTCTGGATCAACATATTCAATTTGTGCACATCTCTTCCATCCTGAATCTAGGCGATACATCATTCCCAGAAAGATTAAGTTTTTGTCTACCGCAATACGATAATTAGTTTTTTGTCTGTCTAGTGACTTGTCAGGTTGCAGTTAGCTAAGAGAGAGGGTTATTATAAACGTGCATGTGTTTTCTTTCAGTTTTCCATTGATCTGAATTGGCCATATAGAAACCATGTTTTCCGCAAACTCGGTTGCAATTATCATGTCGATATGATTGCTAACTTTCCATTTTTCGAGTGTAGAAATTTGTTGTTTGAGGTCTCGATAATACTGTAGAGTCTCTTCGAGAATAAATATCCTGTAATTGCAATTGTACCCATACGTTTTTGGTACAGGACTCGAAATAGTCTCAGAAGTACTCCATGATTCATCAATAGAATCCAAGATCTTAACACAGCGTTTGTAGGATTGGTTGGTTATATAAACAAGTCCAATAAGATTGCACATGGAGTCTATGACGATTCGATTCCTTCCGGAGTTACCTAAAGAATAGTTAGGAATCTATTCAACAGTCGATGTTCTCAAGGCTATGAGACTATTGCTGATATAAACTACCTCCCGCATATCTTTTCACATTATCTACCCGTGTCGGCATGGCGAAAAGGGTTGCGTCCGATATGCCGAAATGGGAAGAACCGTCGAACGTAACCGGATGTCTGTTTGAAATGTCTGCGTATTTTAATGAGGTGCAAGAGCTCTTCACATATCTTGATATTAGATCAGATAGCAGGTAATCTTTCTCACAGACATAGTTCCCCGGTTCATCTGTAGCCGCAATCGTGTAAAAACAAAAGCTAATTATGACACCAAGTGCAGTCGACTGAAACTTCATCTCTATCTTTCCTCGTCGTTCGTGAAAATTTAGTAACAATTTGAGGGCCAACGTAGAGCAAAACGAGACATGAGATGTAGATAGATAGATATCTAAAGACTGGATTCCGAGTGCGTTAATGGCTTACTAGGTGCCCATGAGTAGTCGAGTCATGAGACAGGCTTGGTGAGACGATAAGATGAACAATCCTGCGGCCTGCAGTTCTATAATTGGTCTTGGAGTCCACAGGTTTAATTTCCATGTCATTCAATGAAAAATTACTGCGGATTGTAATGATAATAGTAAAAGTAGTTGCAGGCTGATTTTGAACTTGATGTTTTAGATTTACCCCGAACTTTCGTATGAGGAAACTGAAACTGCTTTATCTTTAATCTTCTTTGCCATCGTAACTAGTAAGCGATGTGAGATGTGAATAAATTTGCGTCCACTTTATGTCAAGAGAAATTATCGGCGAATAGGTCTTATTTCTTTACATGCAGATCTAGCATTTAGAGGATATATATCGTTATGAGATTTTTTGATACTTTCAATGTGATAGGATAGACCAAGATCTTTCTAGACGTGACAAGATGTCTTGACATCAACCCTTCATCCCTCACTATCTAATAGAACAAATTTGAAAGTAATTTGAATTGATCATATCAAATATAGCCAGCCTCTTTAACATAGATTTCAGGAGTCCTCTGTAGACATTGACTCAGCTGGTAATGTATATCAGATCTAACCTAAACTAGACGTGATGCGAGTACATTTATCCGATGAATTTGCTGCTACTCAGATGACCAGCACTAGAGCCACAAGCGGTAGAGGAACAGGAAGTACTGTAAACGCCTGAGTTGCGTTCGCCCGGGCCTTACCCCAGTGTTTCAAACACATGTCGTGTCAAGTTGAAAATAGTTTCAGCATAGATTAGATTAGATTTTTATTATAGTCCTATCTGAGTCTACGACTATAGAGGACTTCTAGCTTCTAAATGAAAGAGACAAACAAATTTCGATAAATTCAACTATTTTAATTCCCAATATTTTCTTATAGATAGTGAGGAACAAGTCCTGTTAGTTTCAGCATACTCACAGTCTACTCTGAACAAATATTCAATAACAATGGCTGGATTATCCCCAAAACAATAACCACAAATTGCAACATAAGCCAATGTTATACAGGAAAGTATTCAGTTTGAAACTTAATGATAAAATAAATTTACCATGGGGAGTAGAAAGGAATGTGGCAGGTGCCGTTTTTCAACTAAAAATTAATCATGGCTACAATAACTCCTAACTTTACAGGTGAGGGCAAAGAAACAGTGACAGGTGTAAATGTGGGAGGCGAGAAATACCTGAGCATCTTCTGCCAAGCTGTAGTTACTAGAGGCATGAAAGAACGGAACTTAAGTGTAGCCTGAAAGGGAACCAACTCAGCCTCAAATTGTTGCTGGGCACAAAGATTCGGATCGAAAAAACCCTTGAATATTTGAGGAAAATAAACATATCAACAAGGAGGTGGCATTTGAAGATACTCAATGTACTGTCTTGTTGGAACAGGATCAAGGAAAAAGGGGAGTAATAAAAAGTTTAAATTAGAGCAATAACTGCAGTTTTAATTGTAAAATATTAAAATTGAGACACATAAAAACAGATGAGTTTTGTAGCATTTTGCCTTTTCTGGGCAGTCCTTCATAGTTATCGTAATGAAATGCAATTTTATTCGTAACGGGCAAAAACCCTGCACTCTAAGAGCATGACACGAAGAAGAGTAGCTTCTCCGAGGACTATACGCGACGATAAATCAGTTTGACATTTGGACTACTCCTTTTTTTTTGCATCAGATTTTAATTGCGTATGCAGCTATCTAGCTAAGACACAATATCAAAGAAAAGTACAGAAAAGATGACTCAATTTACAAGAAGGGCACTCATGCCTCGGATTTCATTTGCATGTACCACTGCGAAGTTATGGCGGCTTTTTCCTCACCCCAAGTTAACCCTCATACGTGAATACCCACCCAGGGGAACGTCTCAAAAACCCTGAGTTATCCGGACATGCCTCCGTCATCCATCAAATATTCTCTGCGCGAAATGTAATCTGAGATGTCTCCTTCTCAAGTTAGGTAGGTGCCCAGGCTACTCAAACTATACCAGAGAACATCACCAGGTGGCGGATCACAACACTTTCCATCGTCGGCTCATTTTTATAGTGTCAGCTGCACTCTCGCAAGCGAAGTCTTGGCGCGCACAAAGCTCAATTCGTAAAACTCTTGCCAAAATTCGAAATTTCACGCCCGTCGAAAACGTATCTCTCTTCTGCATCATCTTGTAAACTTGTCCTGTTTCCTCTCACGTTCATCCCAAAGAGCTATCTCCTAGATTTGTGCTCCACGCTTTGCTTCATCCGTCGGGAATAAATATCGGCGTGGGCGTGTAATTGGTGACCGGCTGAGGCCAGAGAAAGTCGACGAGAGGCATGGTTATTGAAACAAGGATGTACTAGGTCGTACTTGTAGGCTTGATGAGACTATGGTAGGAGTCGAACTCGTTGGGAGCGAAAAAATGACGTGGTGGAGTAATTTAAATCATTGCCTCGTAGGCCAACTTGATCGGTATTGCGAAATTTGACTGAACTTGGCTCTGGGAGAATATTCCACTCCAAGGTTCGCAGAGGACACCGCGTACAGGTGTTCAGTCTTGCCCTCTATTTGGACTACTCATGTAGTGCGTGCATTCGCTGATACCACTCAAGACCTTGTTGCTAGGGATTTTCAGCCTTTCCTCAACCGCTAATATCCACCAAAGAGAAAATAGGAAAAACCTTTGGCTACTCTGACATGCCTTTGCTATTTTGAATATTGACGCCGCTCGAGATATGGCCTCACAGTCCTCCCTTTCTCGAGTGAGGCGGGGGACTTTTCTCAACACCTGTCGGTGGTGTCACCTACGAACCTCCAGCTCTCACTTTAGAGCCTGCAGAGCCGAGATTGAGTAACAAGTCCTCAATTCGATGAAGATTCCCAATCGCTTTCACGGTCTGTATCGTCTTCATCTCTAAGCATATCCCCCCATCACCATTATCATGAAGCTAACCACGATCAGATCAGATGGTAGGGTCGGAGCCCTTGTCATCACCAACCCTTGATCATGGAGGAAAAGCCATCCGATGAGTTTCTGGAGCGTACCCAGCACCCGATACGGAGATGGCGGATTGGATCAAGTCGACCTCGAATGTTAAAAAGAAGGGAAATATAGATGAATATGTGCACCTCATGCCGACCCGGTATCTAGGCCTGCAGTTTTTGCGACAATTATTTTGCGTAAAGGATTCTTCAGAATAGAAGGCTGAATCAAACTGGTGAATACTGAGCCAAGTGGCTATCCGTAATATGTGTCATGTCAGAGAAATTTATCCCTGGCAATAGGGGACGAAATCACTGCACAAGGTGTGGTCGAGGTCAGAAATGAGTCCAACGCGCTAGATAACCAAAAGTCCGCGCTGCGCCTCAACCATGGAACCAGCTGTCTGATGGAATCACTGTTGCTGAGTCAGCTGCAACTTGTATCGCGCTCCCCGATGACGCAGAGCAAAAGAGCCAACTGCCGCACTTTCACTGACGCCCGATCCTCAAAATACCTCTGACCATTCTCCAGCAACAATGCCTACCCTTCGTCTACTCAAAAGGTCGTTCAATGGAAGTGTTCAGCCGCTAATAGTGGTGAGTCGCCCTCGTATACAACTTGTCTCACTTCTGCATGGATGAAATTGCTCGTGACATTGAACTTACACGACTGATACTGGAAGTTGCAGAAATCTTGTCGGCATGCTACAACTTCCGCAGTCTCTGAAAATAGTGGAAGTACCCGTCGTGCGGCAACTTGGGGTATTGGTGCGCTTGCAGTCGGTGGTGCGGCGGCCTACTGGATGCTCCAGGCTCCAGCCCAAGTCAAGGAGCCGCCCAAACCAGCCTTCACCGGCCAGGGATTCTTCAACTTGACCCTGCAGAGCGTAGAGAATATCAATCACAACACTAAAAAGTTTCGCTTCGCCTTGCCCGAGGAAGACCAGGTCAGCGGCCTGCAGACAGCCAGCTGCCTGTTGACGAGATTCAAAGACTCGAACACGGAAAAGGCCGTTATTCGGCCTTACACGCCTATCAGTGATGAAGGTTCGATCACTCCATGTCTCTTTCTCTTACGAGTTATCGCTCACGCGTCCCAGATGACCAGGGTCACGTCGACCTGCTAGTTAAAAAGTATCCCACCGGCGTCATGTCCAGTCACTTCCACGAAATGACGCCGGGCCAAAGCCTTGAGTTCAAGGGTCCGATCTCAAAGTATCCATGGAGTCCAAACATGCACTCGCATGTCACCATGATCGCTGGCGGGACTGGAATAGCCCCGATGTACCAGCTAGTACGTACTATCTTCAAGAACCCCGAGGAAAAAACAAAGGTCACCCTTGTATATGCCAACGTCACTGAAGAAGATATCCTCCTTCGCAAAGAGCTAATGGAGCTCGAAAACACGTATCCTCAGCGATTCCGAGTCTTTTATGTCCTCGACAACCCTCCAAAGTCTTGGGTGGGTGAAAAGGGATATATTGGCAAGAATCTTCTCAAAACCGTTCTCCCCGAACCCAAAGAAGAAAATATCAAGATATTTGTTTGTGGTCCGCCACCTATGTACAAATCTATCTCTGGTATGAAGAAATCTGCTTCTGACCAGGGAAATCTGGATGGTTCTATTTTAGAGGAACTTGGCTATTCTAAGGATCAGGTTTTTAAATTTTAACCTTCATATCACGAAATTTTCTCTCGGTGCCTAGAATTGAAAACGTCATGTCTTGAATTGGCCACAAACATCCTTCTCAAATGGTACTAACATAGTACTTTTCTCGGATCTATGCTCTCTCATACTTTGATCCTTGAGCTCTAATACTTGTTACATTTCACACAAACGGAGCGTAGAACTTTATTGAGAAAAAGCCACCGGATACTCATTTCTTTCTTTACGTAATTTAGAGAAATAAAATTAATTGGACACTACTACAATACATAAATTATTTGTGATAGCAATTTATTTATGTAGGTTGACGACCTAGCAATAATGATCCCCGAGCATGAACTTTGTCATCTTGATTTTACGCCTCAAAAGTCACCACGTCGATACACATAATCATTCTTCACATTTGCCATTAGCGAGCCCAGATATTGAACCTAAGTATTCAGTAGTAGAAAAGTAGTATGAACACATTTGCCATGAAAACTCGTCACTCAATTTATATTGCGGCAGGAAGTAATTGTTTCTTCGCATAGGTGTCGAAACTCGCAAATCTCTACTTAATCCCCACTGATCTGAGCTGAATATTTGCAGAGGTTGACAATAGTAAGTCAATAGCGCGTAAGTTTTGTCCCCACTACGACATGAAACAAGCAAGAAGCCTTGTTAATTCGTAATTTTTCTAGCTGAATTGAAGCCAGAACTTGCGATCCAAGAAATTGATCAGATGACTTGAAGATAACCTAGGGCTTGTCACAAGAATTTCCGCCTCTTTCAAAGCTACTTAAATGACATTTTTAAATTTGAAGCTATGAGACTGACGATGTCCAACTTTGTGTCGTCCTTTAAGCTTGATTCTGTTTGTATACTGCATCATATGTGAGCAAAAAAATGGGCCTAGAGAATTCCTGTGTATTCCGCAGCATTTCGCCACCTGCTACTCAGTTTTCTAAGACATTGTCGCACTGACTCAAGGCCAGCTTGACAAATTTCATCGCCATTTTCTCTGGTTAGCCAAGCGAGAGTTAAAGCACCAGAGTATATTCCATCCATAATTAGGGGGCTAACACGATCTAAATCTTGAATAGCCGGTGTGGTCGCATTTATCTTATCAACAAAATCAATGATGCTAATAGCAATAGTCTTGAGGCCGTCTGAAGCACGTGCTTGCATTTGTTTTTGTTCCTGATTTGTCGTATTTCTAAGGCAATAATATGGATTACACAAATAACAAAGTGAGCTGTAGGTTAGTGCTAAAGGGGATATTACTCTGAAAAAGTCTTTAGGATTAGTCGCCTCGGCAGTTATTTTGCATGCCAAATCAGAGATATCAGCATATAAATCAGAGGCTAGTGCGTAGCGAGCCGAATCGGAAGCAATTTCCGCTTTGTGATGTGCCATTACTTGACCCATTAAAAGTGATGCTTGACACAAACGTGCGAATGGAGCAACTCGTTCCGTGCTTGGCGCAAGATCAACAATTTCGGGTGTGTCGAAAATTTCTTCTGATTCCTGTTTAATCCTAGATCAGTGGCTCTTACACTAAAACTTGGAATGAAATTACCCAAGCAGAATCGTCAAAGAGAATATCTTCTTCCTTAGGTTCTTGTGAGTTGATTATATATCCCATGTTTCCAATTGAAATTATCCTACTAATAATGAGTGCACGCATTTCGAAGTTATTGAATATTGTACCTGTCAACTAAAAGTACACCCCACCAGGTCCGCCGTCGTTCTTCGTCGTCAGCCCAGTTATTCTGTAAGACATATTTAGAAACTTTTGACTATAATCTGTTTGAAACATACAGGTTTTCCGAGAAGGTCTGTAGCTGCCTTGTCTCCATTTATGCCAAGCATATTACCATAACGGACGGACCAGCCTGATGACATCCAAGCTGCAGGATAAATGGCATGGCTATATTCATATAGTGTGATAAGTATGTTGGCCTGTAGTGCGAGAAATGATATCAAGCCGTTGGATTCCATGAGGATTATGCATCGCTTTGCCGCTAAGTAGATGTAGTTCTGTGCACATTCATATCCATCAGTCGGCTTAGAAGTAATAAGTTTCATGCATAGGAACAGCAAAGCTAGTTCTGGGCCAACTTCCCATGAGGGAGTCGTCAAGTTAATGGTAAATTTAGATCTGGAAACGATTGGCATCCATAGATGAACTGTAGCGAAATAATTAGTTACAATCGCTTGAATATTTGATCCACCTCCCAGGATTTCAAGCACATCCTGAATTCATTAGTAAACTACGAGACAAATATTTAAAAGTCCTACAGGAGGCGTTTCAAAGGCTGGCCGAGGAATTGATATCCTGTGGGATATTAGGATAGATTTACGAGTGGATACAAAATTCCAAATCAACATACCCGCTGTTCCTGAAGGCATAACTATGTAGGAATATGATACCAGGAAACTTATTTGATGTTCCGGTCCAAGGGAAGTCCCGGGCAGGGTAATAATTTATTTGTGGTAGGTGTGAATTCTGTCCGGTCTGATTGTTGATAGGCGTTTCATATACTTGCATAACACCTGAATTCCTATCACTGAGCCTCGATTCAAGCTCTGCTACCTTATTCCGCATTGCCTGAAAGTCTTCTGAGGTTGGTGGCGGGGCTGATTCGGAATAGTCGCACGGTCGGCTCATACGCTGGCACAACGCGCAAGCTGGCAGAGTTTTGCTACATTTTCGTTTTTGCTTCCGACAGGACATACATGCTTGTGGTGCTTTCGATAGTTGAGGCTCTTGGTTGCCGTCAGCAATAGGATTTGCATATAGAGGCATGACTCCCGACTTCAGGTTGGCCACAACAAGCCACCCTTGCCTAAATCTGGAATAGAATTTTCAAGTTAGAATATACCATTTTTCACGGATGTGGCTTACATTTTCCGTTTGCTAGTTCAGTAACTACATCAACGCCAGTGACTTTAACAATAGTGTATTTGAGTTGGTCATTGACGAGGCTACCCTGCACATTACTCCGGCTAAAACATTCCGCTTTGCTTAGAAGTGACCAGAACTGAATAGGTAAATCTACTTCGCAATTTTCAACTGCGGTGTATCTTACAATCGAGTATTTTGGTGGTTTAACGATACCAATGAGTATATTCCGTGTATCAATAGGACGTTCTGACTGTGAGAGCCACTTTGCCAGTTTGCAGAATGAAATGCCTCAGGACGCAAGGCGCCAATGTGGGACTCATCTGCCCAATGCAACAATTTACTGCATCGACATTTCTACATGGTCTCAACTCATTCATTTCTCTAGTTTGACTATCTATACGGTATCTACATACAGAACTATGAAGACGGTAAGCCATTTTAGAGAGGGAAGAAGCTTTCAACAAAACAAACCTCACTGTCCTGCCACTCCGAAAGACAGAAGATTCCTCCATATTGGACCCAAGCAATGCGCTCCTTACACATTCCATCGTCTGTCACATCTTCCAAATGACAAATTTACCCACTCTCCGCTGAGAGCAAGAGAACAGTTAGCAAGCACCTTTGATACGGCCGGTATCCCGCTATTGGTTAGTAGATGCCTATGAGAGGCATGGTCGACGTCGCTGTGCCCTCAAGCTTCTTTTCAGATTCTAAATCTCCGAAATCTGATTCCTCGGCCATCGAGTCAGCCTTCGCTGAGGCGATAATCGCCTCTTCGGCCTATTTGGCTGCTGCCCGAGGTCGTGCCACCTTCGCGAACCTTCCTTGCTCGATATGGCGGATCTACGCGAGCTGATCTTTGGTCACCGGTCCCCGACAATTGCGACAACGTGTGAGAGCCTTGCACTCTGTTTTAGAGTGATTGTTAAATGTGCAGTTCCTCCAAACTATTAACACTTGGCCTGTATTTGCCAGAGCTCAGATTAACAGACTTTCGGTCTAGGTGATAGATAACTTTCCTTTTCATATATATAACTATCATCTCTACTGTTTTAGAATACAAAAGTCTCAGCTGGAGAGTACTTTTGACTTCTTTCTAAAGTTCGGGGTGCATGGCAGGCAGGCCTTGGCCCATTTATAACATGTCGGACTTATTTAAAAGTATTGGCACGTCGGGTAGTTAATGTAGACTGAGCTGGCCAACATGAGACCTTACGGTTGTTTTATTTTGGTTTGTTTTATGATTTTTGTCCTAAGCTAATGCTATTTTTTCCACAATGGGTCAAGGACAGGTGGAGTCGGTGAGGATCACTGTATACAGGCCCAACTCATTCCAGCCGCGTGAACTTTACATAAAAAGTGATATTAACAGCAAAACTAAAATCATAAACAAAAATCAAAAACATAAATCAAATTCAGAAGAAGTCCCAATTAGGTCCGGATCCCGCGCTTCTCGCTCGTTCCCTTTCCTGTCACATCTTCCAAGTGACAATTTCTGATCTTCGCTGAGAGTAGAAGATGAGCTCGCAGGCACCCTTTCTCCAGCCAGTGTCCTACTGCTAACTTGTTGAAGCCTCGACGACTTCACTGAGGCTGGCCGTAACCTTAAACCTCCTCTTCGGATCCCAGAATCCCAAAACCCGATCAGTCCGACATTTAGACGTCATTCTTTGAGCCGTGAATCGCCCGAATGGCTATCTCGGCTGCAGCTTTCATTCGAGCATAATCGGCGTGATTTCTCTGCTCGGCTTTGCGAATCATCGCAAGCTGCTCTTTTTCCACCGGGCTGAACTTGCTGGGTCTGGCTTCGCAGAACCGTGAGTCCGATCGATGAGGCTCACCACAGTTTCGGCACCGTGTAGGGGCTTTGCACTCCATTTCCGAGTGCATTTTTGATCCGCAGTTCCAGCAAGCCGGAGAGCGAGAGCAACCGCGAGAGGCATGAAAGCCAAGACATCGTTTGCACTGAACTATTTTTCGACGAGGTTGGAAGAGCTTTGCAGCTCCAAAGTCATCGAAGAGGCGAAATCCAGGCCGGGGCGTGGATTCGCGAGGGAAGAGCGCTTGCCAGTTCTGGTAAGGCGCCCCGGGCTTACTCGTCCCATGAGGACGAACAAGAAAAGGAACTGATTTGGTCACTCGCGTGACTTCGTTGGCGACCATCTTTTCCGTAATAAAAACGGAACCTGTGAGTGTATTAATTCTCAGCGGGACGGTGGCTATTGATAGGGCAACCAGATTTGACGCTGGTTCCAGTTTAATTCCTGATTCACTCCGTTCTACGGAGGAATCTAGGAGCTCTCTTCGAGCGAGTTCATCCTTTGCGGTTATTGCAAAGCCGGTCTTTACCCGCTGAATCAACGTGATATTGTTGGCAGCGGTACCGAGAACCTCTGAGACAGCTGATCTTACGCCAGCTGGTGCTAGAATTCGGTGGGGATGGTTATATTCAAGGCGTAGAAAAAGTCGTGAATCGACTTTTTCACTCGAGTTGGCACTTTTTGCTTTCTGAGCGGGCGTTGCTGCCTTTTTTGTCGATGGCCCAGCGCTGCTGACTAGGCCTGCCCGAGCTACGGTGGCCCAAGTTGGCTTTGGGGCCGGAGCCTGGGTTGTTGAAGGGTTAGGAACCCTAATTTCATGAGCCCTCGGCCGAGGATGGTTGCTGGGGCGTACAGGGAGAGCTGGTGGAGTGCTCGCTGGGCCGGATTGAATGAACTGGCCAATGGCCGCTCGAAGGTAGACTCTGATGCCGTCTACAATTTCTTTTTCGTCGCCAATCGAGAGAGGCGAGAGTGCTGCTTCAACACTGCTTATTGCAGTGGAACAGATTGATAGACGTGCTTTTATTTGCGTCGTGCGATGCTTCTCGGCTTCCATCACTGATTGCAGCTCCGGAGGATATCTCGGTGCTGATGTCGAAGCTGTGCCTTTCGGAGTTGGCATAGTGAATTTTCTTGCAGGTGTTTCTGCTTGTTCTGTCGTCTTCTCTCGGACGACTTCCTTTCCTTTCCTTGAACTGCTTGCCTCGGGGGCCAGCTCGGCGGGTTTCCCGGTCTGTTGACCATTTGTTTCTGTTCTGATCGGGTCAGAATCAGTCATCTCTTGATCGGGAAGGTTTGGAGACTTCCCAGGGATAAAGGTCTCACTCGCAAATAGGCTTGATAATTTTTGCGCGAGGCCAGGTGTTTTTGCAGGAGCCCTCGGGCGGACTCTCGCGTTGTCCAACATTGAGTTGGGGAGCTTTTTTCGAACAGGTGGCATGATGAAAATGCCAGTGACTCGATTACAATTTATTGAAGGAATACGACGAGCACGAGAGGGAAGGAGAGAGGGACAGGGTGAATATTCGAAAATTCGAATTTCAAAAAATTGTGTGTTTACTTTATTTTATTTATTATATTAAAGTCCTAAGCTAAAGCTCTAGGTCCACTATAGGTACAAGACTGGTGGAGCCGGCGGGGATCACTGCTTACAGGCCCAACTCATTCCAACCGCGAGACCCGCTACAGAAAAAGTAGAAGGGAAATTATAAGTCAGAAGACACCATCTACTCCGACTCCGAAATCGAGACCCCATACTTCAACCCTAAATCTAAGTATATAAAAATCTTCTCAGAGAAATGACACTTCTCGCATCGATCCCTTTTGTGTCATGCGTTGTGGCAATGACAAGATTGTCTGAGCCCCGCTGAGAGCAGTGGATGAGTGGGCAGGATGGCTATCAAAACAGCCGGTTTCCTCCGCAAATATTTTGAAGCTATCGTGGCACTTGGGCCCGAGAAGCTTTTTGATAAAGTCAGCGTGTGACACTGACTTTCTGAGCCTACGCGTTTGTTGTGCGTGACGGCTACAGTGGATGAAGTGGGTTGGAGTAGTTTCCTTCCCGCAAGAGCACTCCATAGGAGCGTATGGATTATTAAAGCGGCGATGGTATGCCGCAAAATTGACGTGACCCGTTAGTGCTGCGATTAGTGCCCGGGGGAGGTGCCTAGAGAGAGACAGTTCGGGTGGTTTGCGTCTCCGCACCTGTAGATTGAGTTGGCGGTATTGAGGAGGACAGGCCTCTTCCCACTAGTCGTTTAGCAATCTCTGCCGTCTACGGTTCATGAGGCCTCGAAGATGTGCCAGTGTACTGGATCCTGGTTGCGTATCCGGGCTAGGCAATTCTCGAAGTGCTGCACGGGCCATGGCGTCTGCCTCTTCATTTCCTTGGATTCCTGCATGCCCTGAAACCCACTTCACTGATATTTTAGGCTTATTAGATAACGCACGGAATTTGCGTACATCTTCTAGGCTAGTTGAGGACAAGCCTGTCGTTAATGCGCTTACAGCCTGCTGGCTGTCTAGAAGCACGTGTATTTGCCACATACCTCCACCTTTCCTGAACTGCTCGTCTTCCGTGTATTCCGGTGCGGCCTCCAGAGCCTTTCTTGCTCCAATTATCTCTGCATCCAGCACCTCTCCCCCGTGCTTGATGTCACTTCCTTTGCCGATGAGTTGCCCATCTTTCCTCAGAACGAAACCCCAGGCGGAGCGTTCGTGTCCTTCCGATGAACCATCTGAGTATGCGCAAATTTCCGTTTCTGGCACGTCGCTAATCCATCTAACGCAATTGTCGCGTTACATCGGCTTTGAGCCTGATTTACTAGGGTAAACCACCGGCATCAGACTTTCAGGGGCTTCTGCTTCCGGAAGCTCTCGGTAGGCACGCTGTAATCGTAACATCTGAATTTCTGGTCTGGCTGAGGACTTGGCAGTCTTTTTGTATTTTCGGATGCCGAAATTCGGGCACACGGAAGCGCGGATCCTCAAAGGGTGTCGATAATCAAGGGTCTTAAGCCTTGCCGAAAGCCGGAGACGGTTTCACTCAAGTATGACCTTTGCTGGCGGGATTCCCCCTTC